GCTGAAGCCGGTTTGTCACCGAAGGTAACAACTTGCATCACATAGGTATCAGGCTTTCTATCAACTTGCAAGTCTCTCCACAAGAATCTGTGTACGTGTTGATCAGATTCCGGTATCAGCACCCTATGATACATTTTGGAGATGTCCGCACAGACTGCTACTGGCTTCTCCCGAAATCGTATGATGACTCCAAACAAATTATTCAACAGGTCAGGCCCCTTCATCCAGAAATCATTGAGACACTTGCCTTGGTACACTGATGAAGAGTTGAAGACAATTCGTATCGGTGTGCTCTTTTTCTCTGGTCTCAATACGGCGTGATGAGGGATGTAATGCACAGGACCGTTGTACGACTCCATCTCCTCAGCCGTTAGCTTCCTAGCAAAATCCATCTGAACCATCTCCTTGATTTGATGGTCATAGGCCTTTGCATGCTCTGCATCCTTCATCAGCCTTTTCTCAGTAGCACAGAGCATTTTCTCCACTAGAACCTTATTGTCTGGAAGTTCTCTAGGATCTTTCAACCATGGGTACGGTACCAGCCACTGCTGTCCTTTCTTCTGACAGGCCTTGGTGATTAACTTCTGTTCATCTGTCTCCATAGCTGGACATGCCACACCCATGGACTCCGTCGTCCAGAAATCCTGCAGGTCAATAGGATTTCCAACCACCTGTACATTAAGTACACTTCCACTGCTCTGTCCTGGCTTGCCACCAAATACCACCCAACCAAGTGGAGTTCGCGTAGCCACTAGATGTCCTCTTTCTCTTGACTTGACGTCACCAAGATGTAGTCTTGCATAATCAGCACCGATGAGTAGATCAACTGACCCGTCTCCTCTGTTGAGCTTATCAAGATCGAAAATCCTTGCAAGCTCCCGAACTTCAACACTTCTGATGTTGTCGTTGATCACATCTAGTCCAATAGCTTTCACATTAACAACTCGATGATTGTCCAAAGACTCTACCTTCACCCGATACCACTTAGAATTAGTAGTCTCTCTATCTCCGCCGACCTTTGTGATCACTATTTGAACCGGATCACCCTCCAGGTTGAGCTTTTCTGCTACTCCCTTCCTGATCAGTGTCACCTGAGAACCCGAGTCCAGTAAACAGTTGCCAATGACCGCTCCCTTTGGACCACGAACCTTGACTGTAAGAATTGGCAGAAGAGTTTCACTCGATCCGGTGCTTGCAACATCCACAGTAGATTCCTGGATCTTTATGGTTGAATGTAACAAAGGATGGTGAAAGGAAGAACATCGATCACACTTCTTTCTTCTCCGACATGTAGTCATCCGATGTTCCTTGCCAGCCCGTTTCAGACAGCTAAAACAAGCCCTGTTTTCCTTCATCAACTCGTACCTCTCCTGCTGGCTCATCTTAACGACCTTCTGACACTTATCGACCCAATGATCATTGGATTTACAGAGCCAACACTTAAAGTCTGGTTTGCGACCTTCATTTCCTTTGTCCTCCTGTGTCAGATGGTGTATGAAGGCACCCTGCTTTGACTTGCTATCTGACCTTCCTTCTCGAATCGATGCAGTCGCCCTGATACGAGTTTGCAATTCCTGGCTCAGCCATTCCATTAAGCACTTCAAAGTTGGCGACTTCTGTTGACGTAACCAGATCTTACGATCTTCATTCGTAAGCTTTCGCTCTATCAATGACAACATGTGAGAATTGTTCATGTCCTCCTCCTTGTTGATTTCCTTCAGAGTGTTGTAGCTCCTCCTCACTAACCCTGCTAGTTCAATGAACCCTTTATCATCTCCGTCTTTCAAGTTCTTGAACTTCGTGATGTCGTAGATAACAACATCTGCAACATTCCTCTGATCACCGTAGATGACATCTAGTTGCTCCCAAGCTGCGTTGTAGTCTGTTCCTATGCCTTGAATCACTTCAAGTGCTTTGCCTTGTAAACTAGTACGCAGAATGGTTATACAGTCCCTCTCCGTGTATTTGGACTCGATAAGATGTTTAAAGTCCGATTTGAAGGTCTGGTACTCTCTGATGTCTCCTGAGAAACGTGGCAACTTTGGTTTCTCTATCTGTACGTGACATGCTGTTGTATTTCTCACTTCTGACCTTGGGCTTTCAACCTCTCTTGTGGTGTCAACCGTGTCATCCGCGCCGGTACTATTGCCTACATAGTCCACAACCTTCAACTTCATCTGCATGAAGCTATTCATGCACTCCTCCATCCACGCCTGCTCTGCTTCATACGCGGTGTCATCGAGAACCTCAGAATAGGCATCATGCTTTGCCTCCACATTTTCATACAGTTTGCGGAATTCGTGATAGCTCTCATCTACCTCCTTGATGGATCTTTCAGTGTTCAAAAGGGCCTGTAGTTGGTTCATACCCCTTGTGAGCTTCCCTTTTGCCGTTCTCCTCTTAACTTTCAGCTCGCCTGCAGTTTCAGCCATCTTGTCCGTCTGATTCCAATCCCGGAGTTTCGTGAGAAATTGAATTATGTTTGGATCAGTGAACAAGCCGAGATGTGCCCGTTAGAATGTATAGTTCCTACTGGTGTAGGTATTTATTCAATCTGTAAAGATAATGCACAAAAAATAACATATTTTGAGTTATCTTGTTCATACTCTGAGTCTGACATGTTCTTAATAAATGGTTTGAAATGTACAATTCTTTTTGTGACCTGGTTCTTATTTATGTTTTCCTTATATAGAAAAGAATCTACAAAAGCCTGATTAATGAATGACCCATATCCTCTAAATTGCCTAAGTGTTTGAGTGTACGTAGCAGACAATATTGCTTGTTATCAAAAACCAATTTACAAATCACCTTCAGATCTTTAACTAAATCACTAACAACTCACTCACTGACACATTACCTTAAATTCCTATACACAAAAATTGTGCTCCTAACTTCAACCTATTTTCACGTGTACATTATTTACCAAGAACTTTGACTTTTGTTTATAACTTTCCTTTTCCTTCTTGTTTTACATAATCACATCATCAACACATTATTTACATAATTATATCATTAATCCAAAGAACTTACTTCTGTGGCGGGACACAAATTAACATGCTGAAAATGAGCAAATGATGACGAGCTGACAATTCCTTCCTGTCAACGTGTTGAAATAAAAGTGAGTGACAACTGAACGTGCCGTACTAAAACCACCGTGAAAGAAATTGCTACGGTATCTTCAGAAAGAAAAATCCAAAGAAAATACGACTCTAACTGTTTGAGCTTACAAAGTAACGGGAAAAAACGGTCTCAAAATAAATACCTTTGCAACGATTGAATTTCCTTAATAATATGAAAAACAACAATTTCATACCAAAACACGTAACATTGATGGTAACTTTGCCATCAATGGTAACTACCATGGTAACAGGGCTCAACAACCAATCAAAATCAAGGTTTCCATAGTACAGGTAGTTACCTTGATGGCAAAGATACCATCCATGGTAAGTTTTATGCAACAAGCCCCAGGTAGGGCCTACACCGAAAACTGAGCTGCAACATGAGGGAGAAAAGAAGACCTTACACCTACCCTATCATTAAAAAACTTAATTGATATATGTAGGACATGGACGTAATACAGTAATATGGACAAGCACATATTACATGAAATATTTATATTTTTATTTGTGTGTGCATGTTCTTGTATGCATACTTTTTTTAGAAATACATGTAGATGCTTGTTGACCTGAAGTGAACCGACTTTTGTAATCAGCGCTTCTATGCGGTGACGTCAAATCTACCGTGGTTGTTGAATTGGGGAGCAGACAGGAGATAATCAATGTTCCTTATCTCATACTAATTGTCTAGCTCTCTAGTCATCAAGGTAGATTGCCATTAATGATAACAAAGTCACGATTCTTTTCCCTGATAAGTGTTTCAATATTAGTCTCTCCCACCCTCTCCCTTTCAAAGCCATACATGCACATCTGGTCTTATCTGAAGTCCTTTCCTCAAAAACCATAGATCACTCTTTTCTTTCTATACATGGCTTTACTTCAATCTAATTCTCTGCCTTGCTTTTATACTGTAACCCTCATTTAATTATATATCACTTTCTCTTTATCGAACTTGCTAGACCTCGTACTGTATACTTGGTTTTAGCTTCTCCAGTATATACTTTTTCATGACTCATTTCAAAATGCATACCTCTGTAAGGCCAAATTAAAAAAAAACATGTTGAGCATCCTGTTTTTTGGAAAAATAGGAAGTAGGAGGCCCTTTTTTTTCCTTTTTTTTTTTTTATATATTTTTTTAAATGGCCGCTCGTTACATTTTCCCTGTCAGTCGGGCTTTTTTTCAAGATGGCTGCCAAAATTTTTTTTTTTTTTTTTTAAAATCAGAAATAGATCCATTTTAGCAGGGTTTTTCATTTTTTTTTTCTTTAAAAAAAAAAATTCAAAAAAAAAAAAATCAAAAAATTTTAAATTTTAAATTTTAAAAATGTCAACAAAAATAGGAGGTGGCCCCCAAAAAGGAAGCGGGCTGGGACACTAAACATGTATATTTGATTGATTCATCTTTTATTTGCTAATCCATCCCCTCCCCACCCAATATGCACACTTGAATATGCAGTATGACTCCTTTCACCCCCCCCCCCCCCCAGATGACACATTGGCCTCATCAATACACACACTCACCAATGACCCCCTTCTCCTTCCATCCCACCCAAAACTCAAAGTTTAATCGTAATATGTCTCCAGTTGTCTTTCGTTTAGATGGAATACCATCTTTTACCATCTTTTACCATTTTTACCATCTTTGCCCGCCAATACACACACTTACACACTTTCACAATTATTTTTCTCTCGCTCTGTTTCATTCTCAACCTTTTACATGGTCTCTCTCTCTTTTTTTTAAAGGATCAAATACCAGCCTCATGCACCAGGCAATATACACACATCTCTACTAATAATTTTCTCCCCATCCCCCACCCTCTCTGTCTCACTCCCTAATGTAATATTCTATATATATAATATGTCTCCATTTATCTTTGTATTTAGGATGGTATACCTGCCTCCCCCACCAACACACATACACTCACACTCACCAACGATGAGGAGGCTGAGAAGGATGAGCTTCCTTACAAGGCCAACTGCTGCACGGACGTAAGTGAAGCTAATATCAGTTTTTTTAAAGAAAATGTTGAGTGTTTTTCATGCAATTTCATGTTGAAAAAGCTAACCAGATGTCATGTTGAATTTTTGATACAGTCTTAAGCTGGAAAAATTGTGGATTTTGATGTTTTGAATCATCAAATTTATTACAAATTCACTCCATCTTTCTGGAAATCAAGAAATATGAAAAACATCGGTTTGAGATATGGGTATGTTGACTACTGCAAGAACATGTGGCATCGTTTTATTAAAACCCCAAGGGGTTAACTTTTTTTCTTATATTTGAAAGATGAGAGCATTTCAGTAGCAATCTTTTTAATGAAATTCTTCCACTTTTATGTTCACCTTCTCCAGAACTGAACCTTCCAGCTTTAATTTATCCTTGAGCAACTGAACTAGGGATGTCAGTATAAGCCTAGATGTCAGCAATTTATGGACTAATTATTCAACAGATATGGATGAAGTATTAAGGCTTGCAAAACTAGGAGTTCATAATTTAGAATAATTAATTTTTCCAAATGGCATTCAGATTTACATCTTTTTCTTTTAGATCTCGCAATATTCAAGACTTTATTAAAATACATGCGCCTCTGCTGATGAAATTGGAAGCATGCACTTCACTTTTTGACAGTTTAAGGTATGATTTGAGTTTATGAAATAATTATGCAGTGTGTTATTTATATATTCTTCCTTTTCATCTTCTTCTCCCCCTCTCCTCTTCTTACTTTCTCTTCTTCTTCTTTTCTCGACTTTTCCCTCCTTTCCTTCTCCTCTTCCTCTTATGTTTTCTCTTTGCTGCTACTTCTTTTATTCTTGTTCTTCTTCTTCTTCCCCTCTCCTTCTGTCCTTCTCCTCTTCATCTTTTTCTCCTCCCCCTACTCCTTCTTCTGTCTTTTCTGCTTATTTTCTCATCTCTCCTTTTTCTCTTCTTGTTTTCCTTTCTTCTTCTTTTTTCTCCTCCTCCTCCTCCTCCTCCTCCTCCTCCTCCTCCTCCTCCTCCTCCTCCTCCCTTTCCCTCCCCCTGTCTTCTCTTCCAGTATGATCTACCTCTGGTGTTTACTGCTGGCAGGTATGATGTAAAGATGTAATTATACAGTTCATGTTAAAGGAAGTCTATCTGTTTACATCCTAGATGGTTGAACAGGTCGAAGAGCATGTTATCCATTTCTACCATGACAACCACAACACCATCCACTGGAGCTGCTACGGTTTCTTCAGTCTCCTCTATCTGGCCTACCTTATCTTCATCCTAGCCCATGATGCGTACGGTGCCATGCCTCTCTTCATCATCACCACCCTCCTCATCCTCATCATGGCCTGGCGATGGCTATGGAACCGCTTCTCGGGGGGGATGCATACCTTCCTGGTCAGCCTCTTGCAGACGATGCCACGGATATTGAAGATGGTGTTAAAAGGGTAGGGATGTCTTGAGAGATTTAACCTGCTTTTTCACTGGGTTTAATCCCAAATTATCTCGGGCTTTGTTGTCTTGGGTTAAGTATTTAATGGGCTAAAGATGGAACAAATTATTCTATTCCTGTAGATGTGGGTTGGCTCTGCCTGTCCAAGAGTCTTTTAAGATATTGATGCGCTTTAATCAGCATCACTCCTCTCACCCAGGAGATACATGTACTACAACTAAATAATGTAATTTCTTTTGACACTTAGGGCGCGTTCATGCTTGATTTTGACGGCCAGAATCAGGCATCTGTTACGCGTTTAGTTTAAAACACGGTTGCGTCTTAGCTCACTTTTGTAGAATCACCGAAAAACGGCGATCACGATCGCCGATCGTAAACTCACAAAAAGATGCATTTACAATTTTTAAACGCGTTTAAATGGGGTCAACGCACTGACCTCTAGTGGGTCTACGTAGCATGCACAGTGAAGGTTTGCGAATCCAGCTGGAAGACCAATTAAGGCCACACACGCAGAATTGCCTGGGGAGCCAGAGAAGTAAGCATGAACACTACATCGTGGAACTGCGATCACGATGAGCGTTTACGATGAGCGTTTCAGATCGCTCATTCTGCCTTCAAAATTTAAGCATGAACGCAGCCTAAGTAAGAAATCTTGTGGTGAGCATAATTAAGTATGCGCTTGATCAAAGCTAGGACAGTAATGTACATGTAAGTAATGGTTCTAATAACCCCTGGAATACAGTTTGATTTAGAATACGTAGACCACAGCCTTAGATGTCGTCTGTTTAGAGCCATAAGGGCATTAACTCTTGTCATTTTACACACCGACCATATCTTGGCACCACTGTCAACCTGTAAATGACGGAAACTGAGTGCCTGAATATACTCTTATGTCTTTTAAATGTGACTATAGATAAAATTTAAGATGGCATAAATTCTATCCTGATAGAGCATTATGTATGTCACAGATACATTCAAGAGCAGTACTTCGTATCAGTTTTATCATGGTTTTATCAATGGTATTCAAATTTCATGCAGCCAAACAGGCTATAAACCATCACTCGCCTACAAACCACACTGACATGTTGATTTTCAATTTTTTTTAAGGAGCATTTAGTTCTATGTACAAGTCCATCATTATGCTTGTGCTGAGCCTACTATGATACAAAGTAAGATTTCCACGCTGTTCGGATGTGTTTAACAGTGTTCATTGTATATTGGAGGATTTGTCAACACATTGAATGTTTCCTGCAACACCCCTCTGACATGTGTAAAATCTATTACGAGTGGAGGACAAACAGTCTGTTCACACTCAACACAGAAGCAATTCATATTATCATGTAGAATATGTATAATATTCAGGGGGCATAGCTGGTGGGAGGCAGGGGCGACCCAAGAGGGAGGGGGGACCGGGCCCCACCCCTGGTCCCCTAAAAATTAAAATATTAGTGCCCACTATTCCTCCCTCTCCCTGCTTATTCGGCCTGCTAAATATTTTCTCCGGAATTGGGTCACCGCCCTCGCCGCCGCCTGGATCTGCCCCTATAGTGGAAGAGGCGTTTGGTCATAGGGTTGGTTTCCTGTGACACACCCCTCAGACATCTTGACAATCTCTTCTATATGGAGGACAAACATAACCACTCAAGACAGAAGCCATTCATTTATCATAATGTAGAATATATGTAATATTTCAGGGGCATTTATATGAAAGTGGAGGGGGGGGGGGGGGTAACACCTCATCAAACAGTTAACTTTGCCAATTAAATCTTTTTTGGGGCTGATCTCATTTCCATTGACTAACTTGTCTGCTAACTAGGTCTAATATTCTTATTTGAAATGGCCTGTCTTTGGGGATGGTGGTGGTGGTGGTATATATATATTTTTTTTTTTTTTGGGGGGGGGGGGGATGACACTCGTATTGACCTCTTATTGACCTCTCCTTGACAATTAATAAGCTGTATTGGCTAATGCATATATTATAGTAATTTCCATATTGAACATTGAAAACTGACACCACTGTTCAAAGTGGTCAGGATACACCTGACCTCTTGAGTGTTTTAACATTGGGGTATAGCTTTCCCATGGTGTCTGATGTTGACACCGGGACATGTTTGTTTGATCAAACCAACCGCTAAATCCAAGTCATGAATACATGTATGTGCACAACATTATTCCAATTACTTATGTTGGAGAGAAAGGAAGGCTTGTATGGCAACAGAATGTTTCACTTTCACACTACATTTGATACTGTCAAGGCGATCGGACATGGAAGTTTTTTCCTCGTAAAAACATGAAAATTATGTAGCCTCCCCAAACCTGTGACCTACATAAGGTAGTTCCCATTTGCCCATGTGTTTGATGACAATATCCTTCCTGTTTGGCTAGTCGCCAGTATAGAATGAAAACAGATATCCTCACAGTAGCTTGATCGAGGCCCTCATCCTGTCCAAAAGAAAGGAAATAAAAAATGGGAGTGTATATAAATTACAATGATATTGATGATAGATGAAGTTATATAGCTCAACTGATATAGAAAAGCAATACTGTGGTATAGTGGTGATGGCTATTGATTGACTCTCAATCAAGAGGTCCTGGGGTCGATCCTTACTCAGTGCTTACATCCTTGGACAAGGTGTTTGCCCTCTTGACCCAGGGGGGTGTTTCACAAAGACTAAGATCGAAGTTGGACTTAACTATGGCAGGCCGGTCATTCCACTGTTTGCGCTCGTCATCTACTTGCATTGGTCTCTTAATAGACGTACAAATCATTTTCACAAATCTACAGAATTTACCTTTTTTGATGATTCATATTATTGAAGGAAAAAATATTATCTGAAGATCATTATGGTGAGAGCAAACAGTGGCATGAAGGGCCTGCCACAGTTAAGTCCAACTTAAGTCAATACTTTATATCAATACTATTGTGGTTTCCCTGGGTATATAAGACTCTTCATATTCATTATCAGGAAATCATCCTCTAAATTAATGCTCAAGCAACTAGCTTATATGGCAGCTTAGAACTGCAAATAGGTGGGTCTTCCAAAACAAAAACTCTGTGAACAGGCCAAGGGGTGTTGTTAAGTGCCAAGCGGAGAGTTGATCCAATGATTTCGCACAGCACAACTACAGTATATCTAAGCACCTTCTCCTAGAGTTACTTTGGTAAGTCAATTTTAGAAGGAGTTTAACTGGCAATTTGTGTAGATTATGAAAATATATGGTCTAATGTATCATTGTATTTTCCTCTGGGAAACTTTTAAAGAGATCTTTGAAATACAATAAGATACATGGATATACATATCTTTTAAAATCAATGTTAGCAAATCTTATTTGCAGATAGCAATATAATATCTTCTTAACAATTGTTTACCAAAGAAATGTTGACTAGCACCTTAAATCGACTTTTACAGTAGGTTGAACCTGAATTGTTATGAGCTAATTCCATTCAGTAATATTACAAGAAATTTCTATTTCCAGTATGGAAAATAGAACATCAATAGTAATTACAAAATTGAGTGGTACATTCATACCCAGAAGAAGTGACTGTAATTTAATGAAGTTGAACGTGATTCTGTGTGTATCTTGCGAACTTGCCAGCAAGCTGTTGCCATGGTAACGTTAAACATGGATTGCTTGCCAAGGTGTATGGTACTCTTTCATTTCCTGCCTCTTCACAAAGCCAAATGTTCAATCCCAATCAAAATGAATTAAGCTTATGGTTCAGGTAAAGTTGATACATTTTGATTTTGAAGTGATCTTTGACTGGGTCAAATGATGTAAAGTTTTGCTGTTCAGCAGGAGTGATGTTTAATTAGAGATGTATGTTCAGCTTTATCGTTGCAGCTTATAAACCTTTTTGAAGGTCCAAGGTCAGGTTGGGGCAAAATAGCCCAAGGAATAAAAGTACATGATAGGTCAGAAAAGGGGTTTAAAAAATATATGTGTGCCAATCAGAGATAATGACAACAGATCAAAAGTTTACAGATAGAGAGAGAGAGAGAGAGAGAGAGAGAGAGAGAGAGAGAGAAGGAAAGACTATGTGTGTGTGTGTGTGTGTGTGTGTGTGTGTGCTTGTGTGTTTGAGAGAGAGAGTAAAAATAAATATGTTCATCTCCATCAACCCCTCCCCTTACCCAACTGTCTGATATCTTATATAATCAGAGCGAATGGGAGGGGACCTTGCACGATACTTCACAGAGTTGCAAATATTTGTTCATTTGATTGCAACTTCAAAAAATCATAACTTTCTTATTATTAATCCAAATTTGATCAAACTTTCCCTGACTTCTTCCATATCATGATAACATCTTATTTCTAATGTAACATTTATTTTCATTGCTGACATAATATTAGATTTGTCCTTGATGAGCTTAAAGGTCATGATATTTTTTATCACATTTTTTTTCTTCTTCAGGATGGTGTATATTTCGGTTACCCTGATGCTGATCATATTGGCTGGCGTGACAGGGGTCTTTAAATCCTTAGCTCTCGAGCCTGAGCGTCTCATCTCTGTCCTTGGAATCTTCTTCATGCTCTTCTGTAGTTTTCTTCTCTCTAAATTCCCAGCAAGAGTAAGTGTACAAGGGAGTGTTTGTTTCACAAAGACTAAGATCGACTTTAAGTTGAACTTAACTATGGCAGGCCGTTCATGCCACTATTTCCTCTAGCTATTCCTGGCATTAGTTTCTCAAGGGACATACAAATCATGGTCACAAATCTACAGTAGTTATATTTTTTGATAGTTCAATATTGAAAGAAAAAAAACATTATCCAAACATCAATAATTGAGAGACCAATGTTAAGAACAACCAGTGGCATGAATGGCCTGCCATAGTTAAATCCAGCTTAAAGTCAATCTTAGTCTTTGTGAAACACTCCCAGTAGAAATAAAATTTAAGAAAAACTGCAATGACCACCCTTTCAAGACAGGATTTATTGACAGGGCTAAATTGATCACATGTCATTGTTCTTCAAAATGGCAACACAAATATTTGTCTTCTATTGCTACATTGTTTTAATAAACTGTTATGTCTTTGAAAACAAATATATGGGTAGGGACTTGGTTGAAAAAATTGGTGAAATAGAATGATTTTGAACCTTACAACATGTTACCAACTCAAGGATTTTAAAGCTTATTTTCCTTTTAAAAATCTGAGCATCAAATGCAACGTGGTCATGCGACACAAGTTGAAGCGTCATGGGAAGACAATTTTGCAGTTTCTACTTGTACATCTTGTATATTTTTAGGGCTTTGCATGGATCAAAAGTTTTTAAAACAAACCACAAAATGTGGAATGATTGTTGAAAGAGACAATTATCTTGTATTACAAAATCTGCATTATGATATATTGTTTTGAAGGCATTACAAATTGTGCATCAAAGTTAATTTAATATTATTTCAGCATTGTTCAGTATGAAAGTCAGTTTGTAAATAATCTTGCTCAATATTGCAAACTATGGAGTATTGCCATTATATTCATCAAGTATTATACAATTTTCATTACTATTTGTCAAGTGTTACATGTGAATCCATCAGTATCATTTATCAGGTATCATAGTCATCAGTTATTACAAACCGACGTTTTTTCAAGTACATTTATCATAATCAAATAGATTCATCATAATCAAGTATTAACCATTGTTTATAATATTTGGTACATTAATTGTTGATCAACCATTACACAGTTTTAATCGTCATCAAGTGAATATTTTGATTGGAAAGACATGACAGTTTTCATACTCCCCCAAGAATTGTACAAGTTTATTATCCAATATGTTATTCATCATTTCAGATAAAATGGAAGACGGTGTTTTGGGGCATCTACCTCCAACTCTTTCTTGGAATTCTCATCCTACGGACACACCCTGGTTTCGTAGCCTTTAACTGGTTGGGTAAAAACGTGGAGATATTCCTCAACTATACAACGGCTGGTGCAGAGTTTGTGTTTGGCCCCGCCCCGCTCGAACTCCACTCTTTTCTCTTTGTAGTGAGTAGAATTCTTTGGATGATAAGTCATATGACATAAATGAGAGGAGAAAACTAGATGGAAATGATTATTACACTTTGTGTATGCAAATGAAGAATAGTATTACTTTGAAATATAGAAAATGTTGTTCATATGTATCCAATTTCACTAGTTCAAACAATTAAAAAAAGAATAATCTTATTGCCAGAAAATAAATGTAGAAGAAATCCTGGAATGAAATAATAAAGATGAAAATATTATATTCTTTTCCCTATTTTACTAGTGTGAAGAAGGAAAAAAGAAAACTCACTTTCAAGAAAATAGGGAAGAAGGCTGAAGCCAGAGGTTTAGAATGGAGTTGGTTAGGTTCAGTTTTAGTTCCAAATAACTATGCTTAGGATAAATTTTTCTTAACTTTTCTAGCAGTAACAGTACAGTGCTTTGCAATCAAAAATTTTTGTGGCCCTCTAGGAAGTATATATACTTAAACATAAGGAAAGAGAGTATGAAATAATATATTTTTTATTTGTGTATATTTATATTTTACTTGCAGATTATTTTAGCCTAATCTTGGTGCAAGGTGCAATGTAAAGTAAACATACAGCAATAATTATTCATAAGTCTAATAATAACAATTACAGATAATTAGCAACTTTAAAAAATTGCCCTATAAATTACTATTAAACAAGAAATACTTCAAACTTTCCTTGAACATTTCTACGGATGGGGATTGAGGGATACTAATTGGAAAACTATTCTATTATTTTGATAGTTATACTTGAATCATTAATCAAGTAAACTCTCTGTCCCTTAGCTCGTATTTACTAATGTCGGTATTATGACACTGATGATTAATTTGAGATCTGGGGGGTGTTTCACAAAGACTAAGATCTAATTTAAGTTAAAACTAAAAAATGGCAGGCCATTTATGCCACTGGTTGCTCTCACCATTGGTCTCTTAATTATGATTTTTAGATAATAATAATAATAATACTCAGTTTTTATATAGCGGTTATTAGAATCACTAAGCGCTTCCAAACTTGGAGATTATTACCCCGGCTTTAGCTGTGCTGCCATTGCGGCGCTTTAGCATTTCAAAGAATTAATTCCTGCCAGGTACCCATTTTTTTCCTTCCATAATTAACTATCAGATCTGATTTGTGACTGATTTGTACGTCCCTTGTGGAGAAACCAATGCCAGGAATGGTTAAGAGGAACTAATGGCATGAAAGGCCTGCCCTAGTTAAGTTCAACTTAAAGTCGATCTTAGTCTTTGTGAAACACTCCCTTGGACTAATAATGTTTCTGCTTGAATTTGCAGGCTCTTCCTGTAATTATCTTCACCAGCTCTGTGTGTGGGTTGCTGTACTACATGGGCGTGATGCAGGTTATCATAAAGGCTCTGGCCTTTATCATGCATTTTACCATGGGCACCTCAGGAGCCGAGTCTTTTGCAGCTGCGTCAAACATCTTTGTGGGAATGGTAAATGATAACAATTTCACATTTTATGCTTTAAAGCCTGTCTGTACTAGTTTGGCTAGGAGGAATACCATCCAGGGTGGTCACTGGCAGGTGGCTATCTCATCAACTCAGCTCTTAATTAACATAAAAAAAGAGGATCATGGGGGACCAATGGTCACCGCTTAGGCATTATTCTGTATAGAGGGAGCAAGTAGCTATAAGTAGTATAGTGGGGCTTTAAACGTTATTACATGTACTTGATTTTCACAAAACAAAACTAAAGAGGAAAATTTCGTGTCAAACTTATAATTATGTTTTCTTGAGTAATTCGTGATGATTTTATGCAGATTTCAATCACTTTTTATTTCACATAGGGTCTATTGTTTTGTGTTGAATTTATTCTATGAGGATTTAGAGGATCCATTACATAATATACAAATAATGAATGGTTATGAGTTCAATAGTGCGAATATGTTCATGAGTTGAAAGATTAACATTCTATTCAACGAGGCGTCAGCCGAGTTGAATAGAATTAACGTTAATCTTTCAACGAATGAACATATTTGCACTATTAAACGAATGAAAAACATTCATTATTTGTTTTATACAACATCGAAGAAGACCTAATAGAACATTAATCAACAAATTATGCTTTACTCCTTATAAAGATAAATTACAGTTCGAGTCAAGCCTTCTCAATTACATGCAGATTGCCTTCGCGTCAGATACACCCAGGGATACGCGCGCGCACATGCAGCAGAGAGATACGCAGTCTGCATATAACCAAAAATGCACGGCGCATATAACCAAAAATGCACGACCGTGCAATATACCATCTATTGAATATCATGTGACCAACAATCGTCCAATCAAATGACAAGGATCCACGTAGGTGTTGTATAATTAGTAATAATAACATTACCGGTAGTTCTATTAAACACTTTGAATACTCTCCTTACTTCTTTGCATGAACCCTCATTTGCCACATGTGTCGATCGGGAAAAAACATTAGGTACCTAATGACAGGAATTCCTTTGGGCAACACAATTCCATTTTTCAGTCTTGATTAGTTCCATGACAACCCTTTAAACACCAGTATAGATTTATCTAGCACAGGAAACATTTAAATAATCTTGAAGCCCTCTGTACAGTCAAACCTGCTTTAGTGACCACCTGTATAGAAAGACCACATTTTCTGTTTCCCTCGTAAATAAATACTCACTGATTCATGTTCAAAACGCCAGGAACCTGTACATAAAGACCACCTGCCTATAAAGACCACTTTTCTTGTCTCCCTTTGGTAGTCTTCATAGACAGGTTTAACTGTATACCTATTCCATGATAAATACAGTGTGGCACTGGGAGATACCCTGTGTGGCATATAACAAGTCATAGTGAGAATATATCCATCCCAGAGGATACCATTATTACCCTGACTTTAGCTAAGTTGCATCAAGGTGCTGGAAGCAGTCCAGAGTTTCTTCCCACCAGGAGGGTTACCCTTTTCCTCACCAGGGTTGAGAGGGGCAAATTTTATGCTAAAATGTTACGCGCCAGGGTCTGAATCACCACACTCCCGTACTGTTTGCAGGGGCGGATCCAAGAATTTCTTCCAGGGGAGGGGCACACAGGGGGGCACATGGGAGGGGGGGGGGGGGTAAGAGGACATATATATAACTTTTTTGGTCCCGAAAAAATCACGACTCAGCCAGCCGCTGCCGCTAAATAAGCGGCGGGGGGTAAGAGCACTTTTTTTGGGGGGGGGGGCGCCAGGAGGGCATGTGCCCTCTGTGCCCCCCCCCCTGGATCCGCTTCTGGTTTGGGGTCTGTGTATGTTTCATAGACATTCTACAATATTCAAAGTCAACTAAAAAGGTCTGTGGAACATTGTGGAGGTTAATCAAGTGTGAAAAGTGCTAACATCTTCCCAATGAACATACATGCATTTATATATATATATATATATATATATATATATATATATTTTAGAGATTATCCTGTTGTAACCGGTGGGCATAAGCTTAAGTATGGCTCTTTTTAACGCAATTCTCCAATATATATATTTATATATGTTGAATTCTTGCCCCACAGACCACAGCACCCCTGGCCATCAAACCCTATCTGAATGACATGACAAACTCTGAGCTCTTCTCCATGATGACCGGAGGATTCGCCACCATCGCTGGTAACATGCTGGCAGTCTACATCAGCTTCGGGATCAACGCAGCCCATCTCCTCTCCGCATCCATCATCTCGGCTCCAGCAGCGCTGGCCATCGCCAAGATGGTCTACCCTGAGACGAGAAGACCCAAAACGGCTCGAGTGTTCAACGTGGAGACAGAGAAAGTGTAAGTTGCCATTGAATTTTTTTCTATTGAAGGAAGGGGCAAGATTCTCCTGGTTTTAGAGGCCTTTCCTATTTCATTTAGTGTACATCTCAAGAGAAATTGAATATTGATATAGATCAAATGCTTCTGAGATCCAACGTAATGGGCAGACACCTGGCACATCTGTATGACTGCAAGGTCATAATAAATGACATCATCGTTGATTTTATACATCTTACAGCATCATTTGAAGTAAAACAAAAAAGAGTCACTTAGTCACTGGTCATTAATTAGCAGGACATTTTGCGTGTACTGTTAACGATTGAACAATAGAATTACTGCCCTTTACGTACATTTGCATGCAGAAGCAACTTATAGGCCTCCCGAGAAACAATAGGTTTATTCATTAGTCATTAGTTTAATTAGTTATATTGTTTTGAATTTAGGGTTAGGGTTAGGGTCAGGGTAATATACCAGTTTTTTATGATGTCCGGTTAATGTACCATTTAGGGTTATATAAAGATGTCCTGTTAAAGGTAAAGACCAGTTTTGGAAACGCCCCCCTATCATAAAATGAAATGGAAGTTGTTATTACCAATCATGTGAAAGAATATGTTTTGACTAATATGTGGTCATACAAATTTTGCCGAGAAATCGCCAACTAATTGATATATTTGGTAAATTTATTATATCTATTTGAACCTGATAGATATAACGCACGTGTCGCGCACATGTGCGTAGTCTCATATACATCTTTATGTGTACAGTGCTTGTAACTTCCCAAGACTGGGCAAAATTTCTTATCATTTTGATGATTCCAGAACCTTGCAGTACACACCAATACTTATATGCTAGATGATCAACCTTTTCTGATCGATTCCACAACGTTTCTTTCACAATGCAATCACATGACCATAACTGGTCTTTATCTTTAATACAACATGTAGGGTTATATGTGTACATTTATATATTCATCTGTCCTTTTTTTTCATGCAGCCCTGAGAGAAACTGTTTGGAGGCATTCTTCAATGGAGCTGCTGATGGCCTGAAAATCTGTGCCTACATCATCTGCAATATCCTGGCCGTTATTTCCTTCTTGGCTTTCCTCAATGCTGTCCTCAAATGGCTAGGAAACATGGCCGGTGTAGAGAACTTTAGCTTTCAGGTAAACCTAGCTATTCAAGAGTCCAAGGGGGGTGTTTCACAAAGACTAAGATCGACTTTAAGTTGGACTTCACTATGGCAGGCTGTTCATGCCACTGGTTGCTCTCACTATTGGTCTCTCAGTTAGGATCTTCAGAAAATAATTTTTCCTTCAATAATGAACTATAAAAATATGCAAATTCTGTAGATTTATGACCACTATTTATACTTCTCTTCAGAAACCAATGCCAGGAATGGTTGAGGGGAATTATTGGCATGAATGGCTTGCCATAGTTAAGTCCAACTTAAAGTCGATCTTAGTCTTTGTGAAAAAAACCCTCTGCTATCCTAGAAACCAAGGACAAATCTGGAAAGTAACTTCCTTAACTTTCCACTCTGGGTAAAATGAGTATGGTAAGACCAGTCACCCAAAGATTTTTACTTTTTTGAAGCACTTCATGATCATTTTGAAGCGCAATTTTGTTAGGGCTTTAATATTGCACCATATCACAGACACTGATAACATGTAGCGCCATGCATCTCAGATTTGTAAAACTGGAAACATTGTTAAACAATGCCTTTAAACAACTCCATTACATGATCAAAATTGGCACTTTTCATTTCTCCAGCTGATCTGTCGGTACCTATTCTTCCCGTTGGCATGGATCCTGGGAACAACGCCTTCAGAATGTGGCATGGTGGCAGAACTACTTGGGATCAAGACCTTTCTCAATGAGTTCATAGCGTACAAGGATCTTGCTACTTATATTGAAAAGGGTGAAGTCAGTGTAAGTACTGCTTACGGTACATGAAAATTGGTAACAATCATTTTATCATCAATGTTATAAGGTAAAGTTTTCAGAGTTACACCATGAAATCCTACCGAACAAATGAAAGCCCTGAAAAAGCCTGGTAAAAATTGCTAAAAACATTCTTTACGTTTCAGTTAGTTTGCTCTTAAGGAGGGCTTGGGAACTTTGCTAAAAACGTTCTTAACGCTTTAGTTAGTATGCTCCGATTGTCTGAAGGAAAATGACCTATTCAAATGCATCATGCTTTTAAAATATTATTCTTATTCAAATAGTTAGTAGACCAATTTTGTCTCGCCTGCGTAGCAAAAAGCGAGACATAGGCGCCGCTTTTCCGGTGACGGCGACGGCGGAAATGTCAACATCAAAAACTTAACCTAAGGTTAAAGTTGTGGCATGAACATCAAGATTTTCAAAATGCTTCTTCTTCGTTATTTTTCAACCGATTTTGATTCTGATTTTCTCATATGATAGGGCTAGGAGGGGGATTTAAAACTTCTACACAGAATCGTGAAATTCATTATCTATGCTAATTTATTCAAATTTATTCGAAATCACAAAAAAGTGCTTCTTCTCCTTCATTTCTCGACCAATTTTGATTTGGTTTGCTTTATCTGGTAGAGCTAACTTTGGTACACCAAAATTCTACACAGAATTAAAATTGTTCTCCATTAATTAATTATGTTAATTTATGCAAATTTATTCCAAAATAACAAAAATTGCTTCTTTTCCCTCATATCTTGACCAATTTTGATTTGGTTTGCCTTATCTGGTAGAGCTAAATTTGGAACACTAAACTTCTTCACAGAATTTTGAGATTTTGCTCCATTGATTATTTATGCAAATGAAATTAAATTATGTCCCTTCCAGGGCTTCAAACTTTTATTTTTTGACCAGTTCAAAAGTGTACCACATAAAATTTACGATATTTGTTGTTGCGAGATGCGGATGAGCGCTACCTCATTGACGTTCTGGTTTATCATATTGATAAACTGCCGAGAGCGTTTCCCTTGTTTCTAAACAAATTTGATAGGATTTGCAAGATAAAAATAGGTGTTTGATTTTCTAGTTTTTCTTTACACAAGTTCTTATGAAGGGATATTACTTTTGGTAACTTAAAATGATCTGAAAGTTGTCTTGAAATAAAAGACTCATTAATATGAAAAAGTTGCTTGGCATAAACATGCATAATTTTCCTAATCTCTGGTTTGATATCATCATGTCCAGCACTTTTATTTGCTTTAAAACTTTGAACAATCTCGGCAATATCTCCCTCGGTAATAGGTTTCAAGATTTAGTATAGTTACCTTGTAAAAAACAATTGAAGTCATTTATAGAAGAACATTGATTGCCTAGTGAGGCTCCAATAGAAACAAAATTTACAAACGAGGAAAACCGGAAATCGTTGTGCATGATGGGATCAGGATATTTGACTCCGTACTTTGGTCTGATGAAAATAGGCTCTCATTATTTACATTGCTCTGCTCTCTTTCAGCCTAGGACTCAGGTGATAGCGACCTATGCACTGTGTGGTTTCACAAACCTGGGTAGCCTTGGTATCATGTTAGGTGCAATGGTACCGCTCATCCCTCATAGGGTAGCAGACATCTCTCAGATGGTTGTCAGAGCACTCATCGCTGGCAGCTTAGCATGTTTGCTTACTTCATGTGTTGCAGGTAAAAGCTTCTACTTACATTGTTTCATAAAAATACCAACAATTCCCAATTCATTAATCGGATCTTTCGGAAAACAGAGAAAAAATGCGGAAATAATTTCAAGTCTCAAATGAATTTGAAACGATTTCAAATTATCAATTCGGAGACTGGTTTGAAAAAACTACAACCACAACTTAATTTTATGATTTGTTCACTTTGGGTGGAATGAGGGATCCTCCACACAGCCCCTCAGTCCCCTGGCACCTAAATGGGAAGTCCACCCTGGTATTAAATATGTTTTAATAGAAGCAGACAAATGAGAGGAACAGGCAAGTGAAAGTTTGAGCAAATTCTAATAAACAGTAAGAAAGTCGTGAATTATTGAAGTTGCAAATTATTGAAATTGCGATCTATTACACACAAATTGGCAACATTGTGACGAGCTCCTCCTCAATTTGCTCTGTATAGAAAATTTCATTAACATTAATTTTTGTCGTTATTGATGTCGGAATGGATCTCTTTCCATACAGGGGTTGTATAGAAACTTATTTGCAATAATTTAATTTAGGGTGCATGTATGAAAGAAAAATTTCTTTGAGGGAATATAATTTTGTTTTTAGTACAGAGCAAATGGGAGGGGATTTGCTCTAACTCTCAATGACCTGTTCCTCTCATTTTCCTGCTTCCATTAAAACCAAGCTAATATCAGGGAAGACTTCCCCTTTAAATGGGGTTCGTTTAAAGGAATATGTTAACAACCCCAGTCATGCCGGTCAGACTGATGGGCTAGTCCATGCCCCATATTTTACTCAAGGCAAGGGAGTATTTAGGGGGGGGGGGGGTGTTTTACAATTTTAAAGACACCTTTTATCTGTGTTTTATCTATGACCCCCTGCATCCCTGCCCCCCCCCCCCCCCAGTAAAAGTAAACAAAGTATAACACATTTACTGTACCCCATGATTTCAATTCATGAGTTGATAGCTATACTATAGCTGGAATTAGACTAAATATTTGGGAATAGCAAAAGTATCTATGTTTATGATGTATATACTTGGTATCATTAGGGACAGGGAGACTGCACATCCAATGTAGTCTTAATATTGTATTATTATTTTGATACTGTAGAGAGAGCCTTGAGCAGTCTTTTAGAATGGATATGTGCACTTTATAAGTTGACATTATTATTATTATTAGCTTATACTTTCCCCCTGTTTTTCTTACTCTCAGCATATTTCTATTTCTATTAATACCTGTAATAACATTAATATAAGTACACAATGTATATTGAAATATTAATTTTTATATTACTGTTTATTTTCCTCCTTGTCGTCTTTCATTTCTTTTCAAACCTTTTAATCCTTACCTTCATATTATCTTCTCTCACTGACTTTCTATTTCATACTCTTTCTATCTTTCCATTTCATGCTTTCTCTATATCTCTCTTTCTATCCTCTTCTCTATTTCACTCTTTCTTTCTCTCTTTCCTCTTTTCTATTTCACTCTTTCTCTCTCTCACTCTCCCTCTCTCTTGCTCGTTATCTTATTCTCTCTCTTTTCTTGTATGGTCCCTCTCTTGCACCCTTTTGATCTACTGCAGGGCTTTTGTACGACCCCAACAGATCGTTTTTTGATGGCCCGAGCTCGTCTCTCACAACGTTAATGCCCAACATAACTGCGATAAGTCCAGACAGCTAGAGATTAAACATCTGTAATAAATTCTAAAATCCTGCCATGTTTTATTTGTTTTCTTGTTTCTAACGGTAGAAATACTCTTGCCAGAGTGTGCATTGATGTGTTTATGTAGATACTTGTCATTCTAACTGTTTATCTTCTGGATGATTGTATAGTGTGTTATACAATAGGCCTGTCTTCATCAGCTCGAGATTGCCAAATATCCAGCTATTTGAAATATCTCGATCGCAAATTATCCAGCTAATTTGTGTCTTCATCAGTCCGAAGTTGCAATTAGTGGGATATTCATGAGATAGTCATCCCAACATATATCTTGGGCTAGTTTGCAAAATATCCCGCTATTTGTCCAGTGCGTCTTCACCAGCCCGAAGACTTGCACTATGCGTGAAAGCTGAGCAAAATATCTCAAGCTAATTTCTCTAGCTCGAGTTTCAAGTTTCAATGTCAAATCTCGAGCTGATAAAGACGCGATTTATAACTTCTGGATTATTTCCCAAATCAGAAATAGCAGGCTATTTGGCATTCTCAAGATGATGAGGACAGACCTAATGTAACATGTGAAGGACTTACTAGATGTGGTGGTGAAAGTATCTTTTCAAATTTTGAATTATCAAAAATGTAGTAAACGGGAACAATTGTACATTATCATGTTTTGGAATCTTCGAAATGAGAATAAATTGCCTGAAAATTTTGCGGGAAATTACAAAGAATGAAAAGCAGATGATGCATATATAAGTATGTGATAATGTGGCATCAGAATTCATTCCAAAGCTGTAAAATCCTCTTAATCAAATTTTAAATATGCAAGCTTCTTAAGGTATTCCTTTTTGTGGAACATGACTCTTTGATATTGTGTCATTACAAAAACGAGGAAAACACCTCTTATATAATGTTTTACCATTACCTGAACTCCACCTCATCCTTATGCAACTTACTGTTGGTATGGAATATAAAAGACATGTTCCATTTGTTTTAAATGTCTCCTCATACCTCAGTTATTCCTACTTTATGAATGTATTTGTTGTATATTTTAACGCTATATTATTATTATTATTATTAGCATACTACGACTTATTTATATCATTGTACTATTATTATTTCTGAATTGTATAACAAAGGAGAATCGGTGTTGGTGAAACTTTATTTAGTTTTCAACTTGTCAATTGGTTTCATGGTTCTGTAAAATGCATCCATTTGAATCTTGAAAAGATCAGAAAATGAATAAGGTACAAGTCTGTAGTAAAGTTCGGATCCAATTATTGACTGCTGGTTAGAAAGATATTTGAATATTTAATATTCTGATTTTTGAATTTCATGTTCATGAACTGATTACTGTAGGTTGTTTTTGTCTATATAGGAATGGTTTCGATGTCGCTAATGATTCAATTTTTAATTTCAATCACGAACCTAGTCGGAGGATAATTATTAGACATTTATTTTTAAAAGAAAATTATCCAGAAAGACCAGAATTGATGTGATTGCTGCCAGAAAATGTAGATTAATGTGTATTTTACCAATACTGCAGTAGTATTTTTTGGTGACACTGCTGTTGTACTAGAAATGACAAACTCCATACACAAGGTGAGTAAAGCCTGTCTAAAAAATGGATCAATGAATATTTCCTAAAAGTTAAGTATTATTCAGTTGTATTTTCAGGATTAGCAAAACAATGACGTAAATGTGTGGTACAATTCAGAATTATACTTGTGAATGGTAAGAGTTTGTGTGTTTCTTCACTTTCTTGTCAGTATTTCCTAATAGTATGGTAGACATAAGTCAGAGAAAATATATGAATATGTACATTGAATAGAATAACATTATATTAATGTATATTTTGTAAATAATGCACTGGATATTGATTTTTACTCTTACTGTTAATGTTTTTTGAATATTTAAATGTATTGTTTAATGTGTCAATATAGATTTGATTATAACATTGAATATTTGTTTCATGTTGTTACAAATGTAGACGTATGACAGGCTACGTCATTAACATTTACATTTTATAACCATGTGTATCAAAGTGTGTGTCTGATGCACAAAAATTAGATAGATGTGGAAAATATAGTGTTAAAAGTAGTCATGATGATTTGTAATAAATGTTTCATGTAATTCATTATTTTGTAAATGGTTGATTAAGAGATGTTTGATAAACCAATCTGAATGAATTCCTTTTCCTCCTTGTTACACCTTCACAAACATGACACACTTAACAAAAATAAAGTTGGGTAAAAAAAATGCCCCTAGGAAAGACATTATGTGTGGGCAGCTTCTTCCTAACTAGACTAAATATTATCTAGAACATTTCAAATCATGCCTCAAACGCGTACCTGTTTCAATAAATATGCAAATATTGACTTTGTAGGAGGAGACTTTGAATGTTTTTTTTTAACAAAAATATAGCAATCTATAAATGCTATGAGTCATCACCATTCTGTACCGAAAGTAAATAAATATTGGACCATTTAATACTCATGGAGGTATTGTTTTAATTTTATTTTATTCATGTCTGCTTAAAAAAGCAGGGCAGGTCATTCAGTTAAAAAAAACTGCTTTACAATGGCACCCTGCTGCAACATACAAAATACATAGTACAGCAACAACAACAAAAGAAGAAAAATGTTTTGCATGAAATACTAGAAAATATCAACGTACAAATAATTCATCATCAATAGTGATCTGTCAGTTTATGACAGGTTCAGTGACCCATTCAAAATTCTATATCAAGTGTCTCTCCAAGTTCCTCGGTCTTGAGCCAACCGTTTCATCGTCTCATACCCCGTCGCTCCACATTACGAGGTCTTCCCCTCTTCTTCTTTCCATGAATACGACCTTCTATGACTCGGAGCATCAAGCCCTCATCATGTCGTATTATGTGTCCAAACCATTTATTCCGTCTCTCTCTAATTAGTGAAATGTATACACAATATAATTGCGAGAGTTACAAAAGAAAGGAATAAACTGAACAGGTAATATAGGATAACAACCATGTGATTATAACACATTTAAAACTACTTGACATTTCTTTTTAAAGATTGAAAAAGAGCTAGGAGCTTGTCTTGACATCTTTTGGGAGTATACAAAGAGGGAGCTATAAAAGTAATTTTTTTTTTTGGGGGGGGGGGGGTTAGGGAATCGATAGAGGCGGCTTAAAGAATAACGGGTAGAGTAGTGGGTTTAGCGTATGTTGACCTAATATTCCATGTACAATGGAACTGTTTGTATGCGAGGACACAATACTGATACTTAATTCCTTGTTCAACAGAATTTCAACTAAGACTAGTTAAAAGATAAAAAGATGTATACCAATCAGCTTTTAAAACAAACTTGCATATCTATTTTGTATCTTCTGAATCTTTGTTAGATTTTGTTTTTAAGCATCCTGCCCATGCTGTACAGCAGTAATCGATAAAGGGTAACGTAACAGAGTAACCCAGTTTAACAAGAATTTAATTAGTTACCCAATATTTTTATTAAAATACCCAACTCTTGATTTGACACATATGCACCAGCATGTTAGAATTTTTATATCAGTATTTTGAAAAGTGTTTAGTCATGAAAACAAGAGAAACACCCGTTGCCTTTAGTCTGCGTGTTGGTTTGTTGGAAGGTCCTTTTTACCAAGTCAATCTCTATCATGTTGCTGATAAACCATTTCCTTGTTTATTTTTATTTTATTAATAAATCTCATAGGAATATCGAGAAATTCCCTTTTAGATTTCCTAATCTTCTTCAATACTTGCACCATTTGGAGATGTTGATTAATATTATTTACAAGGGCATTATTGCCATGTCATGCAGCCCCCCTCCAACGCAGTGTTATTTAGGGTACGCGTATGCTTGTTCCCCTTTCCCCCTTTGAAAGCACCCCTATCTCCGGTGTGAAAGTCAATACGGGCCGCGAAAAAGTACCCCCTTACCGGAGATTTTGGAAACAGGCATGCTGAACTTCCAACCCCGGAGTGGGGGGGGGGGGGGGAGGCACGTAGGGCAGCCATCTGCAAGGGTTTTATTTTACTATATTTTCTTACAAACTTTAATACTCCCGAATTTATTCTAATATAAAATGTTTGTAGTACACTTCATATACATGTACATCTTCAATTGAAATAAAAAGGAAACAATGAGTCGGCAAATAACTTGACTCTTCTCTCATTGTTTGTCGTTTAAGAGTGTGTTACACATTTTGACCGTAGATGATGCAAAGTATGAAAGAAAATTTGAGCACAAAATAACATCCTGTAACTTTCGTTTAGGGATAAACCCCAAAATTAATTTTAAAAATACACAACGACCATACCTGAGAGTTGACGGTCCAATTAAGGACAACAAATAAAATAACTGTCGCTAACGAAACTATTGTTCCGTTCACATGCAATTAAAACAGACCCAAAACATTCTACGGAAAACTACCTCCAGGAAAACTACCTCCACCATAACATGCAACATGTGTCATTCAAAGAAAATGGATATTGATATCCCAGACGGATCCGGGAGTTTCGTTGTTGCTGTTTTTTGTTGTAATGGCAATCAGTCAAGAAGTGACTATGATCACCAACGCCTTCCCTTTTAATATTAATTTCCCTCTTTATCTTTTTTCTCTCTTTTTAAAAATATATAATGTGGATGACAGTATAACAAATTATAGGCTTATCTCTCCTTTTTCTCTTCTTCCGATCCTATCTTTTAATGTTAATAACCCAAACAAGGAATTAAAATGAAAAGAAAACAAGAGGGACATGAGCCACATTCCATCCATTCTAAACCCGATCTGGCATATCTATTAAAGAAAGAAAGAAACTACCACCTTTTATAACATCCGGCGGCTACTTCGGACTTTTCCTTGTCGAAAAGTTTTCAGACTTTTTTCCCAACCCCTTCTGACAAAGGATCTCGGACCCGTCATCGGAAGTACATTTAGTGAGCCTATTGGGGGAAACCCCTCATTGCACAGTGCAGTGGATCTGATGAGTTGCTGTGCGAAAGGTATTCTAATTACCGGTTCGAAACACGTGAAAAGGACTTTTCGTAAAAGTTGTCTCCTTGTTTTCATTTTTGTGCATTATAATTTATGTTGCTTAGTAGCAGAGAAAAAATGTAGTGAAGGAAAGTTGGTATTATTCGTCATGGGGTCCTTTTTGTTGAAACAATGATATTTATCACAAGTTGTTTGTCGTTTTGTAGCGTTGGAGATGAATTCGTGAAAGTCGCAATCGGTTGCAAATTTCTGCTTCTTGATAAAACCTACATTTAAAATTTTCAGTAGTTTGCGATTATTTATTTATACATCGATTTTTTGGCAAAATCCTTATGTGCCTGGGAGAAAATTGAAGGCGACCCATTACAACCAAAAAAAAAAAAAATAAGAGTAAAAGAAGAAAAAAGCTTAAGGTTAAAAGTATACATGAACTTCATTCCTAACGTTTGCATTAATTAAGTTGGGTAAGAAAATAAACATCTTGGCCCGAATTCACAGAGAATCCGGGCCCTTATGTTCGTATTCACGTTCTCGAAACACGTGAAAAGGACTTTTCGTAAAAGTTGTCTCATTGTTTTCATTTTTTGTGCATTATTTATTAATGTTGCTTAGTAGCAAAGAAAAATATTATGTGAAGAAAAGTTGGAGTGTGTCGTAATATAGTGATTCAAAAGTTTTGGTTTTTTTTTAATTTATTTTTTTTAGTTGGTATTATTCGTCATGGGGTCCTTTTTGTCGCAACAATGATATTTATCACAAGTTGTTTGTCGTTTTGTAGCGTTGGAGATGAATTCGTGAAAGTCACAATCGGGCGCAAATTTCTGCTTCTTGATAAAACCTACATTTAAAATTTTCAGCAGTTTGCGATTAATTTTGTACTATTTTTGTTTGCACTTGTTGACAGTTTACAGTTGACTCGAAATATTTATTCTCGCGCATGGTGGTGCATATCTTCTTCTGAAAAGGATAAATGCCTTTTACCAAATATTCCAAGAAAAAGTCTTTTCGCAGATAAATAGTTATAAATCAATTTTTTTGCAAAACCCTTATGAGACAGGGAGAAAATTGAAAGCGACCTATTACAAATAAAGAACAAAAAATAAGAGTAAAAGAAGAAAAAAGCTCAAGGTTTTAAGTATCAATGAGCTTCATTCCTAACGTTTGCATTAATTAAGTTGGGTAAGAAAATAAACATCTTGGCCCGAATTCACAGAGGAGGTTTGTCGACAAACCTATACATAAACCTAGGTTTGTCGACAAGCCTCCTTTGAGAATTCGGGCCCTTATGTTCGTATTCACGTACTTTACCTATATGTTTAGGATTAATTTTGTTTGTATAATAATCCACACATGCCCCAGGGCAATAAGGTGTCGTGCAATTGTGATTCATTCACTTGCCTCTCAATCCAGGGGTTGAGGGTTCGAATCCCAACCCGGTGCTAACGTCCATTGATAAGATAATTACCCTCACAAGCCACACCACTCGGGTGTAATTAGGTACCCGATATACCAGAGCGCTATATATTTTGGCCGCCGGCTATGACTGGTAATTTTATCATTATTATTATTGGGCGTAAAAATATATTCTGCTGAAATAATAGTAATTTTGCCCCATAAAAGATACTTTAGAAAATATTCGGGCAAGGAGGTAGTAATATGGTGAATTGCTCTGCTGTGACACTCTCAGATTAAAAGATTATTATTCGGGACGTTCTAAGTTGAAACGATGCTTTTGGTGTTCCTTTGTTTCTATCATCTAAGTGGAGTTGACAAACGCACATTCGGATGAATTACCCACGTTTTTGTTTGTTAAAGATGTATATGTACATTTCACCTATTCTTTGTTTGTTTGTTCGTTTTCCTTTCTTTATGCTTGCTGTACAGAACATGAAATACGTTGGATATTTATATTTCTTCTTGTCCCCAAAATTCAAAAAGTACGCCTTCTGGATAATACGTGTACATTATTCTTTACAGTGTCCACAAAATCTATCATGTATGACTGCAAGTCTGCAACGTTTCTTTGTATGCATAATGATTATCCGGTATTTTTTTGGTGGAAATAATATGATAGGCCCCCCACAATATATATGGTTCGTTCATCATGTTCAGTACAATATAACTTTCCATGAAGAATCTTATAGTCGGGTCTTAATATTATGGTTCGTTACCACGATTAAATATTTATATGAAGAAAAAAAGTGAGAGCGAAACGACACAAATGATGCAGCACATAGCTAAAGGTTCTATATGGCAATTACTGAAGGATTGGGTTATCTCCCCCCCCCCCCTCTCCATTTCCTTCCCCAATTCAACATAGTGTATTATGCATACGGGGCTTCTTGTAAGTGGGAAAATTATACGCGGTTATAATGTACAATATTATTGTGTTAACCCTTTGCTAACAGGAACCTGGTGGTCCCCATGCTAAGCCTATGGGACCTATACAATTCAGAAGTCAACGGGTCAAGTGGTGATCGTTCACTTATAAATAGCATT